TATAACCCCAATATATACCCTGTTATAATATAGTAGTTTCCATTTTCTTTTCCATTACTAGGTTCAACCACCAAAACAACCCCTAAACCCTAAGCCCTAAACCCTAAACCCTAACAAGTCCCTTGCAGGCCATCCCTCAGGCCATCCAGCCGGGCAATGGAATTCAACGTCAAATTTTCGTTCAGGCCACAAGTCTGGTGTATTCCTGGATTCTACAGGGTTTAGGATTTTACATAGGGACTATATAGGGATGTATATATATATATGCCAAGAATGTGGATCAGATAGAAAAGAATATGAAAAATGCTAAGGAAAGTAGGGTAGTTTGGGATTGTTGCTGGGAATAGTTTTGAATCATTATGGGCCACTATCCTTCCCTAGAAACTATAAGAACAACATTTTCATAGGGCCCTTAAGTCTATCACGGCAGTTGCCAACTGTCTGAGCGTGCGCGCATCTGAAGATGGCGCAGACCAGAAAATGATAAATTGTTCTGTCGCTTTGTGATGGACACTGGTGGATTGTTGCTGACCTGAAGGGGCCAGAGTCTTCAACGCAGTGGCGGCCTCAAAGCTTAGAAAGGCATTCACAGCATTGCAAACTGAAACACCTGACAGTCTTCAACTTAAAGGATGCTGAGGTGGCGGCAATTTCCGACTGCACCATCAGCAACACCCAAGGCCTCCAGCATGGATCGTGGCCAGGGGAACAGACCTGCGCAGCACCTGCTGGTGTGTGCAGGTGCTCGTGGTGCAACAGCACGAGCCTTCAGACATCGGCCACAATTGCAGCACAGGATCTCATGCTTGCTGATGTCGCAGGTCGGTCGACGGGACTCGCAGCCCCGCGACTCGCAGCCCTGCTGGGTCGTTTCAAGAGGTAAGATCCAGAAAAAACCTTGCGCATGTACACTCAAAGGGAAGCCCCTGAAGGATGCAAAGCCAACTGGTGGTCGTGAAGCTTCACCAGAACGAGAGGAAGGCAGCTACTTGGTTCGTTCCTATGTGCACATGAAAACTCTCACGCAAGTTCGACACAAAATTTGGATCCGTCCCAAACAAAGCTCTGAAGTTCAAGGGCCCTTCCTATGCAGTATCGCATGTACTTTGCTTACTGTTTTTTTTTTTTATAACTACACGTGACTGCAATGCTGAACAACTACCCTTGTGCTCTTGACCTCTCAACCTTGGTAAGGACTTCCTCTTCTGCATGCGGTTTGGCGTTATCAGCCTATGCCACAATATTAGGATGTTAGCGGAAGATTTGTGCGATGGCGGCGAGCTCTTTGCACCGGGTGGCGCCGAAGGCTGCAGCACCAACAAACCAGCCTGAAGCTTCAACTAGCAAGGCCAAGCTTGCTCCTCCCGCTGGTTTTAGCATTCATTATTTGCGGGGGTTTCCCAAAAAAAGGGGTACCTTTTGGGGGGTCCCGCTATGCTGGAAACTACCATTTCTCACTTTGGGGTTTTCCACTTGCAGTGATTGCAGAGGAACGTTGTAGATTGCACCTGAGAACTGAGGACTACGTTGTGGCGGGTGTGGCGAACCTCCGACGCAGTCTCGAGCGTACAGGTTCCCCTCGCAACGAGCGTTTGGACTTGTTGCTGGAAGAGGTTGGCTGCAGCTGTTTACCAGGGATACATTTGTCGTGCAAGAATATGTGAGGATACTTGTAGCAGGGAGCATTCATTCCAGGGGAGTTGCATGCGTTCACCGCTTGTGAGGCCAAAAAGCTCTCCGTGGATTTACAGCCGCCTCTAAGCTGCGCATAGCATTCGAGGATGTCTTTACCATTCTTTACCTGGATGAAGCTCTGAAGCCGAGGTTTGTCTCGCTGTCCAGTGAGTTCAAGGCAAAGTGGGAGGCGCAGAAAGCGACCTTGCTTTCTCAGAAGAAGAGTGAGATTGATGCGCACCTTCGTCGAGAAGACGAAGTTGCCCAAGCCGAGTTTGCCAAAACAGCCGCAACTTGCTCGCACAAGCTTTGTGGATACCTTATGAAGGCGAAGCAGCAGCATATACCATATCTGAATTTTAAACTTCAGGCATGCAATATTCCCAGGGCTTAGCCGTGGTGCTGGCTAGCAATCGCCATTCCTCACAAATCCTTGTCTCTGAAGCATCTGAGTCATGCCTGAGGAAGCCGAGTTGCGCGCCCTGGCAGCGGCTGAGGAGCAGCGTGGCGGGGCTGCAAAGTCCCAGGACCTGGAGGCGCCTTTGAAAGCTCAGCTGGGCACAGAGAGTCCAATGTGTTGGGCAGGCAATCCTCCGCCAGGCGGTGGAAGGGTGGCGAGCAGAGGCAGGGCCATCGCAGCAGACTCCACAGCAAAGAAGCAGAAGCCTGTTTCAGGTGCATGGCGCGAGTCTGGTGAAGCAGCTTGATGTGGACAAGGCTGTGCGATCCTGCTTGGCGCGCGTTGTGGCATGGACATCCAAGCAAGAAACAAACATGGTTGGCATTTGGAAAGAGACAGTGCGGCAAATGGTGCTGGAAGTGCACAAGGTGGACACAAGCAGCTTCCAGGCTCTTGAAGACACGTTGTCGGCGCGGAGAGCCATCGTGGACGATCTTCTGTCGCGCCAGCGTCGTGAACTCACGAGCGCCTACCGGCAAATGCAGGACAATCTGACGCACAAGACACGCGAGATGCTGCAGTCGGATCGTGAAGTCCAGCGCAAAAGGGATAGAAAAGCAGATCGTAGGCTGATACTCAAAGAAGCTCAACAAGCAGCCAAAGCTCGAGCAGAAGTGGCCAAAGCGGAGTCTCTTAAGGCGCTGGACGCCCATGCGCAGCTTTCCTGTTCGAAAGTGGATCAGTGGGCCTCACTCTTCCTGCTGAAGAAGTCACTTCTGCAGGAGGCGATGGGGGAAATCGGGCCAATGCTGGCAGCAAATCTGGAAGCTCGTATCTACATGAAGTTGAGTTTCTCCAACTGCAGTATACCATACCATCCCACAACCCTTTCAACAAAGTCTATATATGGGGGTTTCCTAAAATTATAGGGGTATGTTTTTGAGGTTCCCCATAATAAGGATTATAGTATACTGGGGTCTATATTGGGGTCCCTTTATATTGGGATCTTTGTTTTGGACTTGGACCTTGCTGTCGTTTCCTCTGAGCCTTGCTTGTACTGCCTTAGGATGCCGAGCTGCGAACAACCGTGGCTCACATCCGACAGCGGCAGAACCAAAGCGTTTGCCGCGAAGATCCGAACCAGCTTCAAGGCGCATGGAATTGATGTCTTTCTTAAGGGGGCCTCTTATATAGTGTATCCGAACCAGCTTCAAGGCGCATGGAATTGATGTCTTTCTTAAGGGGGCCTCTTATATAGTGTATTATGAAACGGCATACTATATCAGAGTATGGTATAGTATATTAGAATATGATATATTGTTATATAATATACTCCGGTATTTTGATATGTAGTGTAGTACATCATAGTAAGGGGCTCTAAATCTGTTGCTGGGCATTTCCGGCAGGTGGAGCCAACTTGGAAAGGCCTTTGCCTGAGCTGAGGGTTTTTGACATGCGCACAAATCTGGGTATGGGGGGGGCCGGGGGGCGCGGGGGACCACAAAAATTAGGTGTAATTTTTTGGGGTCCGGGAATTCATCTTGGGGCCCCGCTATTTGTGGAAATGGGATTCCACCTGTATATTCCCAATATACTCCAACCTTTGTTATGGGGACCCGAAAAATGCCCATAGTTTTTGGAAACTCCCGCATCAACGCGTTCCACCATTGATCTGCCGTCAGGAGTGTACAGGACGGAGAACAGCCACTGGTAAATTCCGAAAGCAAGCAGAGCGCGCAGGTTGAAGCAGCAATGCGGCGCAGTCGAATCCTGGCAAACAGAAAGGTAGTAGGACCTAAACGGCATTATAGATTATAAAGCAGTATATAATGTGCAAAATACAGTATGGTCCTTGAATCAATTAATCCTGTCCGTTTGGATCGTGATGAGTCAGGAATGACCCACGAGCTGACCGATCTCAAGGATGAAGTGCAGGCACTTCTGGCCAGCTCAAAGGATAGAAAGTTCTGGAAGAGGGACATTGAGGAGGCTGCAGCAAAGGGCTTAAGCCTGCTCCAAGATGCCAAAGCTGCTCTGGAGGTGCAGTCGCAGATTTTCCGCAGGGTGGATGGAAGTCAAGCAGATGACAAGTGGTTGAAGGAAACCGTCACGGGACTCTCCACCTGCACTCAAAACTTCCACAGCGACTTGGTGCCAAAGTTCGAAGATGTGGCCAACTCGAAGCTGGCGCACAGCAAGAAGCGCCGTGATCTGGGACAGCCTGTGCCTGGGTTGCTGTTAAGGAACTTACTTTAAGTTAGTCTATTGGGGAAACCATATTAGTAATTACTTTCTATATATATACACCCATTATTGTAACTTAAAGTTATTCTACTGGGGAAACCACATTAATTACTAAGTATACCCATGAAGAGTAGTAGCTTAAATTAAGTTCCTGAACAGCAACCCAGGTGCGGAAGCTCGAGCAGAGCCTGCTCGAGGCTGAAGGTGAGATCTTGAAGTTGATCACCAAGCTGGCGGCGGAGGTGGAGGTGGGCTGTGGAATTTGTCAGATGAGCCATTGTCAATATTATCCTTATTGAGGGGCCCTTAACAGTGGACACAGGGGTCCCTCTTCTAGTTTGGTATCGTCCCTAATCTAGTCCCTAATACGGAACCCATGTTCATTGAATCATGCAGGAAATAATGACTCTAGCTCAGATGGCCAAGCAGAAAGTGTAGCCTCCGACTCAGGGCTTAAACGCTAAATCCTAGAAACCCTAAACCCAGATGCAACTCAGGGCATGTCCGAGCTGGGCAGAGCAGTACAAAGTTCGGTAGCACCCCTGGGACCCGTGGCAGTTTCCTGGCGAAAGGCGGCTTCCTCTGCGCACTTTGACAGCAAACAAAGGGCCTAATATAGCAATATAGTAGTAAAGCAATAAAGTATATAGTCTGTTCAAATCCATTTTGCCGTCAAACTTCTTGGCAGCCAAGGTTGGGTATTGTACAGAGGCTGTGGCAGCTTGCAAAGACAAGCCCTGAAGAGCAGAGAGACTTCTTTACTCAACTGCTGGCCGTGTTGGAGCGATCGCCCATCGCCGTTGATGCACTTGCAGACGGAACAAGATTTTGCATGAGATTCATGAAATTTGCTGAGGCTGACGGCTGTAGTGGAAGTGCTTTGCTTCAGCAGGCTTTCGAAAGCGTGGAGGGGAGGGCAGGCAGGCTGAAGCGCTTAGCTGGCTGAAGCTTTGTCAATGCAAAGTTGCTGCAAAGGTCAAGTGGAGGCGGTCCATCTTCCCTTAACTTCTCGACTCCGTCAAAGGTTGCTGGGTTCCTTGTGTTCATCCTGCCTGTCCTTGTTTGTCAGTCCGAGTCAGCCGAGCCCAATGCCTGCTATCCGCCTTGAGGCAAAGGCTCGAAAGGCTTCGGCGGCCACGCCGAAGGAGCGTGTGCCTGCCACACTTGGTTTGCTACCTCACGATAGTTGCCCATTACAAAAAGAACATGTCAATTGAGTAGCATGTTTTTAGGGATACCATGGTACCTACTATAGAATGAGATTATTCCCTCCTTTTGGGGTATAGTATTTTATATAAGGAATATTATCTTACTAGGTTCAACCACCAAAAAAAGGCTACTCAATTGGAGGACTGCATGAGACAGTGCATGGCAGGTGGTGGCACAGGAGCGCAGGCAACTGCGTCCCGGAACTCGCCTCGTGGCACATCCCTTACTCCTTTTGGGGCTCTGCTCCGTGCTTTCACCTGTCTGCAGCTAGGTCAGGGTTCGAGGCGCACATCAAGTGTCTGTGCTCTATCCCCACGGAGGGAGAAGGCCACAAGAGAACAAGCAAGATCCCCCATAATCCCTACCGCTATACTCCCTGTACTCCTTATATAACTTATATACACCCATAATCCCCACAATCCCTATATACCCTTATAATTTCTGGTATTCTAATAATTTAAGCCGAAGAGCAGCTGTGCTTCTGTTTTTTTCTGCAGGCCAAGGAAGCACCAAAGGAGCGCTTCTCACCAGCTTGGCCTGTCGCAACCTGGCACAATCAGTCCCAAGTGACCTGGAGTCTGCTTCAAGGGTGGTTATATAGGGGATGATATATGGGAGTATTATTGGAGTTGTTAAGGGGGATACTTGGAGTTTAGACCATAGCTCAAGTGAGTCGGGGCATGCATGAAAAGCCACACCTTAGGTGGAGACCTTTGCTCGAGAGGAGGCCGATCAGTCCCCTGATCTGAGATGCAAGCTTCTCGCTTGAGCATGGCCAAGGTGCCCAGGCAAAATCTTCGCTCTGACTGTCGAGGCCAGCAAACATACTGCGAAGATGCGTTCGTGTGGTCACTACAGTGTGGAAATCTCGGCCCGTCCCGTGAGATGCCTGTACTCGCGCAGAATCTCCCCACGACTGCCCTGTCCTCATCAGTGATTACAAGTTTCAGGATGTGTGCTTGGTACTGGCACGGCTTGGCTGATGCTCTCAGGCATCGCAAGTGCGCGCAGCAGATCTCCCGAAATGGATGGCGTGATGCGTAGATCGGGGGCAGGCCCGATTTACCAGCCAGGTTTTGCAAACGTGACATGTGACCACATCTTGCTAAGCCGACGGTCCTAGTGCTTCTGCGTGAATACCTGCGTCACTTCCGCTAGCAAATGGCCATTCGCGCAGGTCGATCCTCGGGTGGTGGGCCATCTTCAATTTGCCTTGGGGACATTTGCCCAGCTTAAGTTCGCCAACATCTTGGCTGCATCGTTCTAGTTCTAGAGGGGCAAGTTGCATGAGGACACGCCATCAAGACCTCCGCAACTGCGCATTCCCCAGAGGGCATCTTGGTTGCACAGTAGCCGAGTAGCATTCACATTCATGGCTCAGGCGAGGGGAATGCGTGCAAAAACTTCTGGTGCCAAACGAGTGCTGTAACCCACAAGAACGTTGCTCCGAGCCTCCAACCAAGGCCTTCTCTGCTGATGGACCGATGCAGGCCTCGAGAGACCCTGGCCACTGGGATGGATTCGTAGGCTCCAAGAATTGTGCAGCACCTCCTGCGCGCAGCAACGGCAGACAAGATGCTCCATCTGGCTCCAAGCACATGCAGCATGCACAAGTTACGTAGGGTTATCTCCGAAGCGTGAGGGAGGGTGGCACTGAGGCTGGAAAGAGCCTCGCCGACGCCAGTCTGACATGAGCGTGAAGAGTCTTTCGACGTACTGTCCGGAGGTCCCTGGCAGCCTTGATGGACACTGGCTTTGGCTATGTAGGGGTTATATTGGGATAATGGAAAGTAAATGGAAACTAGAGGGTTATATAGGGTTTATATTAGCTGCCTGCAAGTTACACAGAGCAGGACACGCCCTGTGTGGCCGTGAGCGCGACAGATGCCGGGGAGGAAGCTCAAGCAAAGCGCAATCTCTTAGCCGCCACTTTTCCCACCCGGCGCTGTTTCCAGTGCAGGAGCGAAGCATGGGATATGAAGATGTCTTTGCAGAGAACAGGCAGGTGGCTTCTGAACCCTTTGAACACAGGCAGTCGATTGAGTTCCTTCTGTTGACAGCAAGAGGCTGCTCCGCGCCGAGAATGCTCGACTTCAATCAGAGCTGGAGAAGTGCCCACGATCTGAGAGGGATCTGTACGCAAATGAGAATCTGAAGAGTAGTGTTCCTGCAAGGGTTCCTGAAGTTTCAGCTTTAGCTGTACTCATCCAAAGCACTTCTCCCCGACTTTGTTTGATTGCCTATCTTACTCAAGATCCTCAGTGAGAGCCGCGTCAGTCCAGGCACCTTGCACTAGCTGGATTAAGGCCCTTCTTGGGAGGGAATCTGGGATGGGTGAAATAGCTAGAATGACTATAATGCCAAGGAAATGGAAACTACTGTTTTGGGGTTAGGGCTTATAAATGTCTAGAATGTGTTCGTGACAATTAGGCGATGACTGGGCATGGCTGCGCATCGCTCAGTGCCTGACCTGGATGGGAAAACTCATCAGAAGGCTACTGAACATGAGGAGGCGGAAACACCTGCCCAGAAGCGGAAACCGCCCTCACATCAAGGCAGAAGTGACTTCCATGCACTTGATAGTTTCCCAAAATAGGAAACCTGCATATATGGACCCCAAAATGCAATAGCCCTTATTATGGGGACCCCCCAAAAAAGGTACCTCTAAGTTGGAGAAACCCCTACTTGTTTGGGTTAAGCCTCAGTAAAAAGTATGCTAATAATAATAGTAATAATGATAGTAGTTACTGTATATTAGTAAGAATAGCAATAATAAAGGTTATGATAGTAATAAAAGTACTTGGCTAAGACTCATGCTCTCTGATTCGTCATCAGTTGTCGTCTCGTCTTCCTTGTTTTTCTTCGGCGGGCGACGGCATCTGTTTTGATTAAGGTACGGTTTAATTTAGTTGAGTTCCTAGGGTTTTAGGGCTAGGGTTAAGGTTCAAGTGAATTAAGCCTTTAGGGTTTTACAGCCTTGAAACCTAAGAGTCTAATCGCAAAAGTTGAGAAATCTAACCTTTGAAACCTAAAAGTCTAGCCGCAAAAGTTGAGAAACCTAACCTAGAGTTTAGCCGCAAAAGTTGAGAAAACTAGCTTTGAAACCTAAGAGTCAAACTGCAAGCCTCAAAACCTAAGAGGGACTTCAATGTAGGCCCCAAAATATTAGAGTCCTGAGAATGGTAACCCCCAAGCTGATACTCCTAGTTGTTGGAAAGCCTCATGTTTCGTTTGTACATTTAGCCACTAATAATAGGAATAGTAATAATAGTAATAACCCTAGTAAGAATAATAGTAATAATGATAGTTATAGTAATAATAATGACAGCAGCAAAAACAGTAATCATAACAGTTCTAGTAGTAATAAGAGTAGTAATAAAAGTAATTGCAATAATGATGGGACAGCCAAGGATGGCTTCCGCTGACACTCATTGCAGTGTCGGCCCTGGGCTTTTCCATTCAAGCCCTTCTGGTGAGGGAATCTGGGACGCTCCTAAGGGGTTTAGGGATTTAGGGTTTGGGGATTTAGGGTTTAGGGATTTAGGGGTTTAGGGATTTAGGGTTTCGGGATTTAGGATTTAGGGTTTGGGGTGAGGGAATCCGGCGTGCTTCTAGGAGTATTTGTTTCATTATAATGGACCATAATCCCTAAAAAGTCCTTGTAACGCCATAGGAGCTTCATTTCTATAGGGCCCCTACATCTATCCTAAGCCCTAAACCCTAAATAATAGTCGGCATGTTCTTTTCCATTATTCCTGTATACCCCTATATAGCTACCTAATGAACCGCAGATTTTCCATATGCATTATATAGGGTTTAGGGTATATAGGGTTTAGGAGTTAGGGCTTAGAGTTAATACAATAAGAAAAACTCTGCGTGAAAAGCTGCGTCAGAGCAACGCTCACTTCAGCGGATGTCAACTTCGGCTTGATTGTGCAAAGAGCAAAGTGATTTCGCCGTGAGTCTAGGCTCCAACAAACTGCCCGGCGAGCGAGCTGGCAATGGGCTATGGTCGGCCAGTTTGGCTTTCACAATCAGCTGATGATGATGCACTGTAATCCCCTATATACACAAGTTTCCATTTCATTTTCCATGTTCTTTTCCATTTGATTCTCCATTATTGGGCCCTAAACCCCTATATAACCCTATATAACCCAAGGTACCCCTAATTGCAGGCGGCACCAAGGCTCTCTGAGCTTCACACGCATGCGCGAAGCCGCTCTCGCAGGTGCTGAGCGCTGCTTCTCTGATGAAGGTGGCGACGAGCTCACCAGGACAATCCCTAAACCCTACTCCTCAAACCTGAATCCCAATCCCTAGACCCTAATCCGGGGAGGAAAAGGGCCCCGTAAAAAAGATGAACCCCGAACCCTAAACCGTAAAAAAAATTAAACCATCACAAAAGAAACATTTTCCACCTCGCCGCATCAGGAGTTGAGCCTCCAGGGCCTGTAACTCCCTCATGAACCCTATAGAGTCCATAAACCCTACGTCCAAATCCCTGTACCCTAATCCTTAAACCTCTAAAAAATAATGAGAATCCTTGAGCCCTAAACCCTAATCCTTGAACCTTAAACTCAGGAATTGAGCCTCCAGGGCCTGGCCACCTTTCAAATTATGGAAGTCAGGGGCTGCTGTCAGGCGACGCACCTTTGTTTAGGGTTTAAGGTTTAGGGGCTTAGGGTTCAAGGGTTTAAAGGTTTAGGGGTTTAGGGTTCATAGCATTGCAGGGGCCATAGTGTTCATGGAGAAGACATGTACTTGGGGTCGGAACGAAAACTCAAGTTTGGGTATACTAGCATATCATAAGGGAATGGATTATATAGGTGTATACGGGGATAGTGGAAAAAAGAAACCAGTCTAGAAGTGTTAGGATATATATTGGGAGATAGCGGGGTTATGTAAGGATATTATCCCAGATAGTGGAGATTGAAATGGAAAAGCAAATCAAGAATGAAATGGAAACTGCAGCATATAAAGGGGTTGCATGAACTGTATATGTCCGCATGCAAAATGTACTATAGTAATTTCCATTTGGTTTTTCCATTGTCCCAATATAAGCCGAAGATAACCAATTTCTGGCCTTTTTTTGGCAAGGCTCTGGGGTGCTGCGCGGTGCTCTTGATGAAGGCCCATCCCATGTCCACTTGGTTTGGGGTGTCGGCACAGGAAAGGAAGGCGTTGGCAGCTCGAGCATTTGTGGGCTACTGGCTTCCTGTTAAGGAACTTCCATGATATGGGCATATCGTCAATATTAGGGTTTCCGTATTACGGTAACTTAATTTTAATTTCCTTAACAGCAACCCAGGCTACGGTGGTGTCGCGTTTGGCTTCCTTGCCATTTCCTTCATGCCGTTGGCAGATTCACAGATTGTCTCTCAAACTGCGCCGATCTTCTCTGCGGCGTTCGCGCGCGTCTTTCTCGGAGAAGAGTGGCATCTCTCGGAGTTCTTCAGTGCGGTGACCGGTATTGTAGGGGTCATTTTCATCTCGAAGCCCGAAGCGCTGCCACTGGGTCTTGATAGCGTGTTGTGGCTTTGCGCATCACCATTGCTGGACATGCCGTGCTAGAAGCCTATATATTATATCCCTGTATATCCTATATAATCCCTACACTATATCCCTACATATCCTATATAATCCCTACATTACATCCCTATACGTCCTATATAATCCCTACATTAGATCCCTATATATCCTATATGAAGCTCAGGTTCGGTGAGGCTACCACTGATCACAAGCACCTCGTGGGCGTAGGCTTTGGACTCCTCAGTGCTCTCTGTGGAGGGGGTGCCTATGTGATTATCCGCTTCTTGGGTACGGCAGTCAAGGCCAGTTGACTATGATTTGGCACAGTAGTAGATCGGGGTTATATTGATGATGGAAAAGAGAATGGAAACTACAATAGTATATGGGGGTTACAATAGGGATGATGGAAAAGAAAATGGAAACTACTATTTAGGGTTTAGGATTTAGCAGCTGCAGCCGGCTCAAGCCTCTTTGATCCCTTTGCAAATGTGCAGGTGAACTGGACGGTGGTGCTTCTAGCGCAGGCCATGGGTCAGGTGAGAGTTGCTTAAAATAATTGGCCCCAAAATGGCCAGATAGTAGGTTCCCTATTTGGTTGGGATCCCCCTGTGGGGGAGGTGTGTTCCGAATGGTTCCTAAACCCTAAACCCCCCATTCTTTACAAGGACCTTTAGAACAACCCCCAGGTAGTGTTCTCGCCTGCGGGTCTTGTGGCTGCCGGACAGCGAGTCAGGACTTCAATGGGACTTCAGAATCTACTAGGGTGTTCCCGAAAAAAAGGGGTACCTTTCTAGGGTATATATATATATATATGCTACCCCCCCCCTCAAAACCTACCTTTTCTTAGAAAATCATAGCCTGCGCACTAGATTTGAATGATTTTCTACCCTTTTTCTATGGTATATATCCTATAGAGTGCAGCATTACGCTATGTTACCCTTTCCTAAACTCCGAATTTTCCATAGTATGGCTTGAACATTTTCGAGTTATCTGTCTTGGACTCTAAACCCTGAATCCTCTGTTCAAAACCCTAAACCCTAAGTCCGACACCCCAAACCCCAAACTCACTGAATTCTGAAGATTCCATAGTATATCTTAAGTA